ATGAAATAAATAATTTAAAAGGTACATTCTATTATTTAATGATGTATTTATTAATTTTATTGTATATTCAATGATTTAATTATGTATTTAATAATTTTATTGTATATTCAATGATTTAATGGTGTATTTAAGAATTTTATTGTAAATTTAATGATTTAATGATGTATTTAATAATTTTATTGTATATTTAATGATTTAATAGTTAAATGATACATTTAATTGTTATGTTTGTATTATGTATTTAATTATTTCATTTTGTCACATTCCATCCTCCACAGAACTCAGCCTAAACTAAGATGACAAAGCTTAAAAGAAGGAAGTCCTGAGCTGGCAGTCAGCTCCATTTAAAATGGCCGCCATGACCCTAAAAATTACAAAGATTAAAAAATCCAACAACGTTAAATCAGGTCCTCTGGACGGTTTCTTTGAGTTGAAGCTTTTCATCTTTCATCCATCCATACTATAGTGCAGTAGCTTGTACTTTTTTACTTGGATTATTGAGCATGAACTTTGATGTTTTGAACCACTTTGGCCATGGATGCCTCAGACGAGTCGATGGGGGAGAGGGCGGACTCCAGAAACCATCTGAGCACCATCAAACTGGCTGACCCACTATGTAAGTGTTACTTAAAAGACTGAGTTTGTTGTGGCTCCTCGGGCTGAAGAAGTCTCTTGGATGAAAGATGAAACGTTTCAACACCAAGACACCATCCACAGGACCTGACTGAACTTTGTTGGACTTTTTAAAGAAGTATTTGGACACCCAGATAATAAACCATCGCATTAGTCTAGCCCAGACGTGATAAATGCAGGGAAAAGTTTTTCTGCATCATTTTTGGACAAGATGTTTCTAATGTTAGTGATATTACGCAGGTGGAGGAAAGCGGTTCTGATAACATTTTTAATGTGGGAGTTTAAAAACATGTCCTGATCAAAAATAACACCAAGAGTTTTAACATTAGAGCTGGAGGACAGATTAATGTCATCCAGAGAAAGTTAAAGACTGTGAATGTCCTCCATAGGAGGAGAAGAGGACGTTTCCAAGTCTGCCTCTATGATGGTATGGGGGTGCATTAGTGTCTTTGGCAAGGGCAGTTTACACATCTGGAGAGGCTCGATCTATGTGGAATAATTTAAATAGGTTTTAGAAGAAAAAAAACCCAAGGCAAAGAAGAGCCAGGACGGAAACGGCCAGAGTCCTATCAGACATCCCTGCAAATACTCCAAGAACCGTCTCCACAGTTCCTTGTGGAGGCTGATGGTTAACTCTTCATTCACCCGCCTGAAGTCAGCTGATGGTCTTCATGTTGAAGGTAAAATTATTCCGCAGTAAGTTTAAAATTGTAGTCCAGCTGAACCGAACTCTCTACGTTTTTTGTTTTATTTATTGTTGTTTTATTTAATATGAGGATTATTAAATCTGAAACAAGGTGAGAGCAGAGAATCTGAGGAGTCAGCAAACAGAATCCACACTTCACCAGAACCCTGCGCCGCTGGGGATCAGACAAATCAGTAGCTGCTGTTTGACAGCTGTTGCTCTGCAGCTGCAGCTGCTGCCAGATGCAGGCTTCTCTTGACCGCAGTCGCCCCCCTCTGACCACATGATGGAACTGAATGCAGTGGTTGCCTTGGCCAATATTCCACACGTGGAGCTTTTTTCAGCTATTATCAGCATAAAGTCTGCAGAATTGTAGGCAGTTTGACTTGTTGCATCTCTTCTCTGTGAATTGCTGTCTTGACTTTGTCTTCAAACATGACTGAGTGAGCAAGTAACTCCACGTGAATAATAAAACAGTTTATACATGATGACTGATGAAGTTTATTAAAAGAAACACTGGGAATTATTGAACTAAACAGCACGTACAAACTACTGGACAAACTGCGTGCGTGCGGGCGGGCGTGCGTGCGTTCATTGGGGAGTATTTTTGTGCTGAGTCTTTCAGAAGGGGAAAATTAGATCAAATTTCTCCGCTGCTGCGTCACAAGCTGTCAGCCAATCAGATTCGGGTTTCCCCCTCGGCTTCTATAAAGTCTCCCTGCAACTCCATCCTTCCACTCAAAGCACACGAGCGTTGTGAGGATTTTACTCCGGGACCAGAAGGGACACTTCTTGGCTTTTCTTCACAGAGTTCAAGTTTTGCTCTCTGAATGCACAGGAGGTCTGTCAGAAACTGGTGCGTAAAGGCACTCGCTCTCCAAACTGGGTTTATGCGCGGCTCTGGCGCAGCAAATAATTCTTTTTGCACATTTCCCCTAATTTTAAAAGATTCCCGTTTCTTTTTTTCACATATCCTGGCTAAGTGATGTCAGCTTAGAGGGTTATTATTAGCCAGCTCTCTCACTCAAAAAAGCAGGAAACCAGATCGACTGAATTTAGCACCAATCAGAAACTCGTATGAATCTCCTCGACCCCTACCTGAAGATGACGGAGGAACAAGACAAGTGTTTATCTGATGCACCGAGCCCGAGCATGTCGGAGGACTCCGCGGGCTCTCCGTGCCCGTCCGGTTCGGGCTCGGACACCGAGAACACCCGGCCGTCGGAGAATGGGCTGCTCCTGGCGGGGGGCGCCCTGAGCGACTTCAAGAAGGATGAGGACGAGAAGTTCCCCGCGTGCATCCGCGAGGCCGTGTCCCAGGTGCTGAAGGGCTACGACTGGACCTTGGTACCGATGCCCGTGCGCGTTAACGGATCTTCGAAGAACAAGCCTCACGTGAAGAGGCCGATGAACGCCTTCATGGTGTGGGCTCAGGCTGCCCGGAGGAAGCTGGCGGACCAGTACCCCCACCTCCACAACGCGGAGCTCAGCAAGACGTTGGGCAAACTCTGGAGGTGAGTGTGGCTGCGTTTCTGTCAGCTTTTACGCACGCACAGGACGCAGTGTCACACTTTCTGTCACAAACTTTCACCTAATCTTTGAGTGAAACAAGCTTCAAGATGTTAAAGATTATTTGAAAAATCTCATTTTGTTGTTTTATTAAGGAAATTTACAGACGTAGTAAAAAATGTCCATTTTACGCACAGACTTCTCAATGAAGGGGAGAAGAGGCCGTTTGTGGAGGAGGCTGAGAGGCTCCGCGTGCAGCACAAGAAGGATCACCCTGACTACAAGTACCAGCCAAGACGGAGGAAGTCTGTGAAGAACGGCCAGAGCGAGTCGGAGGAAGGCAGCGAGCACACGCACATTTCCACCAGCGCCATCTTTAAAGCTCTGCAGCAGGCGGACTCTCCGGCGTCCAGCATGGGGGAGGTGCCCTCCCCGGGGGAGCACTCAGGTGAGTTGGACTGAATGTTTTATGTTCCTACCCCCTCATGATGATAGAAAAAAAAGTTTTAAAGCAAATGTATTTTCTCAGCCCGTCTTATGACGCAATAATCAATCCTAAAAGTTTCAAATCTTTTGGTTTTCAAGCACCTTTCCCAATTCACTACTGTGGAGGTCCAAGCCTTAAAGTACATGAAATGCTCCATGTATGCAGTTAAATCACATGCATATGCACCTCCCTCCCCTCCCTCGTGAGGGTCATTAGGCTCCTTGCTGCTCATTTTGGGCACCGGCATGAAGGAGAGAGTCCGAGTCAAACTGACGACCAGGTCTTGATTCATGTTTTAGACGCTGAACTCTTGAGACCTCCTCCTCTGTTTGAAGCTTTTTCTTTCATGTAAATGGCTTCCATCACACCTTTTTACAAACTGAGTGAAAAAGAAATATTTTGTCCTCAAAAGCATCAATTTATCCTTAGATAGATAGATAGATAGATAGATAGATAGATAGATAGATAGATAGATAGATAGATAGATAGATATTATTAGCATATTTTTAGTTGAAGTTTTTCTTAGTTCATATCTTATATCTTATTACTGTTTTTCTTTAACATTTCATACTGTTGTTGGATGTAACTGGGACCCTGTGTACACATGTGGTACATGTGGTGTGAATGACAATAAAGGAACTTGAATCCTATTTGTGTGTGTGTGTGTGTGTGTGTGTGTATGTGTGTAATTTATTTATTTATTCATATAATTGTTTATTTTTTCCAGGCTCACAGGGTCCCCCTACCCCTCCCACCACCCCAAAGACTGATGTCAGTCCAGGTAAATCGGACCTGAAGCGGGAGGTGGGTCTCCGCCCTCTGCCAGATGGCACCACTGGACGCCAGCTCAACATCGACTTCCGTGACGTGGACATCGGCGAGCTGAGCAGCGACGTCATCTCTCACATTGAAACGTTTGACGTCAATGAGTTTGACCAGTATCTGCCCCCCAACGGCCACCCTGGCCCCATCAGCGGCCCAGGCAACAGCACCCCCATCAGCTACACAGGCAGCTACAGCATCAGCAGCGGGACCTCGCTCAGCCCACAGGCAGGAGGGGGCTCAACCTGGATGGCTAAAAGCCAGAACCAGCAGGGACAGCAGCACACCCTGACCACCCTGGGGGCCAGTGGGGGCTCAGAGGGGGCTCAGAACCAGAACAGGACCCAAATCAAGACAGAGCAGCTGAGCCCGAGTCACTACAGCGACCCACAGGGATCCCCCCAACACTACAGCCCCTTCAACCTGCAGCACTACAGCCCCCCCTCCTCATCCTACCCGGCCATGTCCAGGGCACAGCAGTACAACTACTCCGAGCAGCAGGGAGGTGGCACCGCTTCCTACTACAGCCACGCCGGGGTGGGCCAAGGCTCAGGCTTGTACTCGACTTTCAGCTATATGAGTAGCCCCAGCCAGAGGCCCATGTACACCCCCGTAGCTGACGCCACCAGGGGGACGTCTATCCCGCTGAGCAGCCCCCAACACTGGGAGCAGGCTCCAGTTTACACTCAGCTCACCCGACCCTGAGCAGACTGACAGGACCCCCCCCCCCCACCCCCAAACAACCAGTTGGAAAGCGCTGGACTTTGTATGAGCTCATGTAGTGCCTCAGTGTTTTATTATGATAGAAACGTCTATTTTAAGAGATGAAGACTTTAGAAAAACCTCTGTGAGGAATTATTGATCTCTGTCTTTTCTCCTTCCTTTCATTCAGGTTCACGGGCAGTATTTAACCGTCAGACTTACTTTAGGGTTGGAGTATTTCACCCTCTAGATAAAGACTAAAACAAAAGCTCCATATTTTTCTCTCAACCTGCTGCCAAGTTTGGCTGTTTTTTTGTTTTTACACACAAATTATTTTTATATTTTGTTTGTGAAGCAGCTGTTGCTGTTGAAGGTGTGACAATCAGAACGGCTGTGTCAGACGGCCCCGACCCGATGCTGGACCACCATGTGCCTTTACGCTTGTCTGCATCGTTCCAAACTCTTTACACATGTGCACATTTGTGTGTATGTGAATGTGTGTGTGCATGTGTGTGTGTGTGTGCGCCATAGCCACAAATGAGATTATCCAGCAGAGCCTGTTTGTCAGCTACAGGAAGTCACCTTTAACCCCCACCCTCACCCCTCCAGGTGTCCCCCAGCAGTCTTCCACTAGGCTGGTCTCCTTTCCTTTTTAACTTTCTGTTTATTTATTTGTTAGTGTTAACTTTATTTCAAAGTAATTATGATGCATATTGTTTGTATACCTAATGTTCTTCTTGCTGTGTAACCCCTCATCTTTTTTATGTTAAGATCATCAACCCAGACTGAACTGGTACCAGTTGTAATCGTCTTTTTTTTTGGCTGTTTATTTATCTTATCTAAATGTGTCTTAAGTATATATTTGTCTTTTTTTGTTTAAGGATCAAGAGATTATTTGTGTCAAAGTTCCACATATTTCTACAGGCTGCACCAGGATCATCCGTCCTCATTTTCACTCCTCTTTTTTTTTTTTACTTTCCATCTAACAGTATGTATTTAAACAATCTTTTGTATATATTTGCAATAAAAATGAAAATGCAATTCAAAAAAATCTTAAAGGTTTGTCATTTATACCTCAGGATACCATATGATAGTAACAGGATGGTCGGATGTATTTTGATGTAAGATTCTGTCTAATAGGTATCTGTAGTGGGAACATTCATCAATTTCATGTGGGATCAATAAAGATCTGATCTTATCTGATCTGATCTTATCTTCATCCATCCATCCATTATCTTTACCCGTTTGTTCCATTTTGGGTCACGGGGGTCGCTGGTGCCCATGTCCAGCAATCACTGTGCGAGGGGCGGGGTACACCCTGGACAGGTCGCAAGTCCATCACAGGGACACCCTGGACAGGTCGCAAGTCCATCACAGGGACACATAGAGACAAACGAGACAAACAACCATTCACTCTCTCACTCACACCTAGGGACAATTTAGAGTTACCAATCAGTCTAACATGCATGTTTTTGGTCTGTGGGAGAAAACCGGAGTACCCGGAGAAAACCCATGCATGCACGGAGAGAACATGCAAACTCCACCCAGAAAGGCCCCTGGACCGGGGTTTGAACCAGGGACCTGCTCACTGAGAGGCAGCAGCTCTACCAGTTGCGCCACTGTGCTGCCCCTTATCTGATCTTATCTGATCTTATCTGATCTTATCTGATCTTATCTTATCTGATCTGATCTGATCTGATCTTATCTTATCTTATCTGATCTGATCTTATCTGATCTTATCTTATCTGATCTGATCTGATCTTATCTTATCTGATCTGATCTGATCTGATCTGATCTTATCTGATCTGATCTGATCTTATCTGATCTTATCTGATCTGATCTTATATGATCTGATCTGATCTGATCTGATCTTATCTTATCTTGTCTTATCTGATCTGATCTTATCAGCCATGACAGTATGGAGTTTAGAGGAAGAGGCAAAAGTCTTCATCCAGGCTAGGCTAATGGTTAGTCAAACAAGAGGCAGATGGTTCTTTAGGTTTAAAACATTTTCTCAAAAACAACACAATGATGTGGTAGAACATAAAATGAGCTAATATTAACAATCCTGCTATCATGGAGTGAAAATGACCCCTAAAGCCCCAATTTAAAAAATGAGGTGGTCATTGTGACCCAAGGGCAACAGTCCTGACTGGTCTAAGTCCTGGACTAAGACTTCTGCCCATTTCTCCATACAGAAATTTCACTATTGTTACAATAACAAAAACTATTGTCACAATAATACAACATAGTGTCAATATGTATTCACTCCTGTGTGTATACAGTGTTTAAGTGCTAAATTAACAGAGTGCACAGGTAAATAATTTAATACTTCACACTTGAACTGTTAGCTTTGATTAATTAAAGTTGGGCATACCTTTAACTATTGGTCATTGTTCTGTACCAGTGTACATTATAATAATAATAATGCATTTTATTTGTTAGCGCCTTTCAAGACACCCAAGGACACTTCACAACATTAAAAACACAAAACAAAACACAAAATAAAACAACACAAAATGGCTTTAAAAACACTAAACCAAGAAGAAAATAACAAAAAAATGAAAGTGAAAAGGCTAACTTGAACAGATGAGTTTTGAGTTGTGATTTGAAGGTCTGAAGGGAGTCAATATTACGGATGTCTGGGGGAAGAGTGTTCCAGAGTTGGGGGGCGGAGAGAGAAAGGGCTCTTTGTCCCACGGTGCTGAGGCGGACGAGAGGCACGTTGAAATGGATGGAAGAGGAAGAACGAAGGGAGCGTGAATGGGTGATAACGTGCAGGAGATCGGACAGATAGGGAGGGGTGAGGTTATGGATGGCCTTGAATTTCTTCTACTAGAACTCTAGAATTCTAGTTCTAGAATTGCGCCGCTCAAGGTGGCTGCATGTTGGAGCAGCTCTGTTACTTTCATTCTGAGATTTTGCTTTTGGAAACTGTAATTCCTCTTTTTCTGAATGTAATTCACATTTTTTGGATGATTGTTGCCTCTGGTATCGGATGCTGTGCAGATGAAAGGATTTTTACTGAAACTTTTTTAGTTTTGGACATTTGTTATGATGCGTAACCATGGCAACAAGGCAGTTTTCTACAACCATCATCAACCAAGAATAGAACCCTGTGGCACACCACAAGAGAGAGGGGCAGTGGAGGAAGACAGATTATTCAGCATGACAGAGAACGTTCTGTGGGTCAAATAAGCAGTGAACCACTTGAGAGCTGTACCAGAAATTCCAACATAATGTTGGAGACGAGACAACAGGACAGTGTGGTCCACTGTGTCAAACGCAGCTGTAAGGTCCAGCAGCACCAGAGCAACGGGACACTTGACATCCATGGACATGGAAATGTCATTATGGACTTTTAACAGGGCTGATTCGGTAGAATGACGGGTTCTAAATCCAGACTGAAATGTTTCATAGATACCATGGTTTTCTAAAACAGGTTGTAACTGCATAAAAACAACGTTTTTCTAAGACTTTAGCTAAAAAAGGCAGATGAGAAATAGATCTAAAATTTGATAAAAGTGATGGGTCTAGGTGAGTTTTTTTTTAAGAAGGGGCCTAACCACAGCATGTTTAAATGCAGCAGGGACAATTCCTATACAAAGGCAGGAGTTTAAAAATGTTAAAATACAGAAACCCGCAGAATTAAAAACCTCTTTCAAAAACTTGGAGGGAAGAATGTCCAGTGGGCAATTAGTGAGCTTCAAGTGTTGAACAACATCAGTGAGAGTGGCAAGAGACACTGGTTGAAAGTGTTCAAACACGACTGGAGCTACAGAGGCAACAGAGGAGTCAGGAGCAACAGAACTAGTGACCTGTCTGACTGAGGCCTCTTTATCCTGGAATAATTTTAGAAAGTTTTCACAGTTAGTGGCTGTGGCATCTGGTGAAATACGCACAGTTGGGTTAATAACATAATTAATTGTGTTAAATAGCACTCTAGGACAATAGCAGTTATTTGAAATTAAACCAGATAAATATAGCCATCTGGACAAAGTTCACTGGAAACAGAAGTCTGAAAGTCCATAAAAGCAGCAGTAAACAGTCCAGCTGTCTCAGGAGTAAAAATACAACGCTAATGACCTGCAAAGGCAGGCCTACTGACTGGTAGGGGGGCTGAAAACTCCACCATGATGGGGAAATGATCTGAGATGGCCATTTCAGATGTTTCACAGGGTGAGATGGACAGCCCGTGAGATATAATAAGGTCCAAGAAGATGAGTAGACCCATGTACAGACTGTGTTAAGTTAAAAGATGTTAAAAGATTGATAAAATCAGAGGCTAACTGATCAGACAGGCAGCAAACATGAATATTAAAAATCTCCACAGATCAACAGATTATCAAATCTGGGGATGGAGTCAACTAAAAATTCAGAAAATTGTTGAATAAAGTCCTTGTTATATTTAGGTGGGCGGTAGACAATTGCAAATAATACAGGCTGTGTCAGCTCAGCCACGAACAGCTGTAACTCAAAAGAAGAATATGTTCTGGCAGGTAGAAGTCTACATTTGAAATTGTCTCTAAAAACTGAGGCAATGCCCCCACCGCGACCCGTGAGACGGGGGGAGCTGAGGAAGGAGCAGCCAGGTGGGAGGAGCTCCAAGAAGGCACTGTTTTCATCTGGTCTCATCCACGTCTCCGTCAACAAAAGAAAATCCAGTGTGTGAGAGGAGAAAAAGTCCTTCATTATAAATGTTTTGTTAGTTAGTGATCTGATGTTAATCAGTGCCAAACGAACGGAGTTACTAACTGTTTGCTGACATCCACGGTCAAGCGGACGGAGGTTCCCCTGAATGCAGCTCCGGGTGCAGGTCCCAACGAGCCGGCAGCGGGGGCGTGGGCAGCTGGCGTCCGGGACTACCGGCCGGAGCCAACGATAGCAATCCCTTGTTAGCCGGTTGTGAATGCCGTGGAAGTTAAATCCTGTATCCGGAGTTTGACATGAAGTCTGCTTCTCCTTCCACGTCGTCGTCGTTGGCTTCTGGAGGGCAGCGTGGC